ACGGCTACGACGGACGAACGGGTGTCGCTATAGAGAGCTTCGCCCCTAAAAAGAACAAAACGCAGACTACTGTCTCCAGCGCGTCTGTGGACGCTCTAAATAGCACAGTACTCCTGGAGATTGCGGAAATTTGTGCTCAAGGCACTGGAAGGAAATGTCTTGTAAAAATGTTTATGGATGGCGGTATTCGATGCAGCCTCATCACAGGAAAGTTGTCAGGAAAGCTGAAAGCCACCGTGTTAGCCGAAAAACAGCTGCCAATCGCTGTGTTTTGAAATATTTCCGCACCTCGAAAATCTTCTCGGAGAGTACGAGTGAGGCTGCATAGCCAGTATGGCTCAAACTTGATTGAACTTGAAGCTATAGAAGTCCCACAAGTATGCAGTTACCAGTCAGCATTAACAGAGACAAATGTGCCTGAAAGGATGAAAGACCGGAACTTACGTTTGACTGATGTCACTCTATTCCAGGTTTTATCGAGCCTGGAGTATGCGTTCTTACAGTCGCTAACAAATAAACATTTGTTAGCGACTGCTTCCGTATTCTGAAAGAGGCGGGGATGAATTTAACGAAGTTGACGACAATAGATGAATAACTACAAAACTAGAGCAACCGCCAATATTTGACGATGCAGTTCGATGTAAAAAACGAAAAGAATATTCTTGAACTCGTTTGGAATACTGACAAACACATTTTGAAGCCGTCGCTGAAAAAGATGCTTGAATCAATAGGTGAGTCAAAGGTTACGAAGCAACAGATTTGAAGCTTTGCCTCACTCACGTACGATCCATTCGAATTCCTGATGGCATATGTTCTGGTGGTGAAGTTATTATTACAAAGACTGTGGCACAGAAACACATCTGAGATATATCCCTACCGGGTCTATTCTAAAGGAGAGAAAGTATGGATGAATGGCCTCTCGAAATTCAGTCATTTAGAAGTTTAGACACATTTCGGCAAATTTCTTCTGGAAAACAATTTTCGTGTTGCCATACATGCCTTTAACAATGCAAGCCCAGCTGCGTACGGCACCGTGCTCTACCTTCAGATGCGAGACTTGAATGGGGCCGTGAAAGTTGTATGTCTGATAGCCAAGTCGAAAGTAGCACCGCTACAACAGATGACTGTCACACGAGTAATGCTCATGGGAGAGATTCTTGCAGCTTGACTAATTGCAACAGTGAGACGTGGCCTAAACTTAACAGGCTTTGAAACTGTTATATGGACAGACTGTATAATGATGATTTATTCGCGAGAAAGTTCAATAAAGCGCTGCAAACACTTCGTAGCTACCCAAGTGTCTGAGATACCCTCCTCAACGAAAGTGAATATGTGGATACATTACCCATGGGATCGAAATCCTGCCTATTTGTTGTCTAGAGAAGCCGCCGCTGAGCAGCTCTTACAAAGCTCGCTTAGGTGGAAAAGACCACACTTTCTCCACACTGCCTCGACATTCGACGAGCCCTGCTACAGTGAGGATACAGTCGACATAGAAGAAGAAACTGTGTTTGAGAACAGCTGTACGACCAAAACCTACAATTGTGAACATCGATGACTACAGCTCTTTTAAACGACTGATACCTACAACTGCATAGATACAGTAGTTTGCCAGGAATTACCGACACCCAGACACCAAAAAGAAAGGACTTATAGCCACAACTGAATTAGAAGACGCAGAAATTTATTGAATGCGTCGAACTCAAAACAAAGTATTTGAACAGTATAACTGGTGAATCAACATTGTAGTTTAGCAGTTCAGTCCCTATTACGAAGAATCAGGGCTTCTACGCTCGAGAGGTCGAATTCAGTTCACTAACCTCTGCGAAACATCCAAGCGCCCTATTCTGCTTTCTGCTTCAGACACATTTACAAAGTTTCTAGAGAACAAAGAAAATCAATGGCTTTTACACGCTGAACTTGGTTGAATCATGATGGAGCTGAGAGAAAGGCTCTGGATTCTGAGAGCCAGGCAGGTGGTAAAAAAAATATTTATAGATTTACAGTCTGCCGGCAATTTTCCTGCAAGCCATACTCGTAGACCTTCGCACCTATAACAAAGACTGTGTCACCCTATCTCCACTTTTCAAACTGTGTGGTGTAAATTTTGCCGACCCTTCTTCAAAAATATAATGCAGATAATACGAAAACGACCTATGTACTGATCTTCACATGTTCAGTCGTCAGAGCTGTTCATTTGGAGCTCGTCAACAATCTTAGTTACGACAGATTTTCGCTTAAACAATTTGTGTCTCAATAAGGCATTTGCAGCGTTTTGTATTCCGACAATGCCAAGACCTTCATAAAGGACTCAAGGAAAATTCAGTGACCTGATGCGTTTATTAAATCACAAGAAATGAAGTCGTTATTTGCCAGTGACATGATCGTTTGCGAATTCATCACCGAACAGACCCCCTTCTTTGGTGGGGAGTATTTAGGGAACGGTTATAGATCTGTGAAGTCTGCATTGAAGAAAACACTGGGAAATCCTTTCTTTTTCATGAAGAACTTTCTACCATCCTCATTCAAGTTGAAGCAAGGATATATTCGGCAGAGTGACTTGTTGGGCGAGTAGGTTTAAAAGGTTTGCGCTTGTCCTTCTTTCGTGTTTTTTTTCGTGCCGTAAGCTCGTTAAGATATATTCGCGACCGCTCACTTTTGCGTATGCAGAATCATCTGAACAAACCCCACTTACGCCAAGCCCTTTCCTCATAGGACGACGACTGACTATGCTTCCTGCAGACCGTGTGAGCACACCATCAGAAGAAACTTCGTCGTCACACGACATTCTTCAACAAAGATGGAGGCAGAGAGAGCAACTGGTAAATAGTATTTGGAACAGGTGGAGATGAGAGTACATTCAAGAGCTTCGTTCAGGTCATGTGGCTGAAAATACAAGCAAAGAATCACTTTAAAAAGAGATATCATATTCGTTATTGAATTCAACACATCAAGACAATTGTGGAATATTGGACAAGTTACAGAATATTTCAGGGCAAGGACGGCAATGTTCGATCATGCCAGATGTGCACTTATGGTGGCATCATGGTAAAGAGGCCGATGCATCTGTTCTATCTTCTCGAATATGCCAGACAAGCTGCAATATCTCGGAGAGAATCGCCTTAAAAAAGGAAGCCCATGAAGTTTTTCTGCCGAGAGCTGTTAAATATTCTTTTGGAAGAGCGGCGAAGATGAAGTAGCGGACAGGAGCGTGCCTGAAGTTTTGTTTCTGTTTTTAACCCAGCGTCTAATAAAGACAACGTTCTCTACTAAGGCTCTGCTTCCTAATTTTCAACACAAATTATGTGAATTTCCCTGCCTAAAATGCGTCATTGAAGTCTTGCAGAACCTGGGTATAAAACAGTGTAGGATTAAAAATAGGCGGTTGGCAGGCCTAGTGAGAAGTGGTTTCTGTGGACTACCCTGTCAGTGATTCTATATGCTGCATGTTTTGGCTTTTATTTGGGTTTGGTGGTAGATCAACTTGTTCTTATTACAGTTGGGATTGGGTGCATCTAGTGTGAACTAATGCAACGCCGACTACATTGGCGTTGAAATGGCAACTTATGGTCTAATGCAACGTCAGTTCTCACATGAGAGCACAGACGTCAGTCTTATAGGCGCGGAGCGCACTTTCAGGATACGTACTTTTCATTACCATGTTCCTCCGTGGTCGACAACTGTTGGAATGTAGCTTGCTAAATCATAGAAACACAAGCGTAATATTTATCCAGCTGCTACAAAAGCGAAGCGAACTATGAGGCCACAATGGACGTTAATCGGGTGTCTTTACAAAAAAGTTTCACGGCTTGACGTGGTTCTACCTGACTTTCACATAGATCTTGGCCATGATCTTGCAAGAATTCAGACTTGCATTCTTCAAGTTTTCATTTTAACGGTTCTTAAGAGCGTTTCTTCAACTTTATTGCTCTCACATTTATAGCATCACTGTAGCCTATGGCCGTTGCTGAGTAGATAGAAATTGTCAACTTCCTGTGGCGCAAGCCCACAGTACGCCGCGGGTCCCCTACCAATACGTGATACACATAGAAGTAAAAATTTGAATGGCGTAGCGAAGGGTTTTTCTGGCTTGTCGTTTTCTTCAGCAGAATGGACATTTCCAATGGAGGCGAAAATATTGTAGGCCCGTGTTCCCAGATTTGAGTGCACGTTGAATAACATGAAATGGTCGAAATTTCTAGAGCCCTCCACTCGGCGTCTCTCATATTCGTATGGTGGTTTGGGACGTTAAACCCCACATATCAATCAATCTTGCAATGCCACTTGAGCTTTCTCCAGAACGGCCGCAGATCTAGAAGTTACAGCTTATTGTTCAAATTTATAGTTGTGGTATAGATCATGCGCATGAATTATTTAGGTCGTAGGAGGAGATTCAAGTCATTGCCCGTACGCTAATATTCTTCGGGATGCTTCTGTCAACGCTCCCTGAATCAGACACCGTCAGTCATACATATCTTCTACTTAGGTCAACGTGATTTTGTAGTGATAGGGTGGTGGCCATGATATAGTGGTCACTGGCTAGATGCCCGTCTACAAAAGCATGAGCAAATACTGGTCATGATGTTTTTTTTGGAAAAACCAAGGCCGGAACAAGGGACTTGTAAGAAATTGTTCTATAAACGGGGTGGGGTGTCTTGGATCTGTTATTAAAGTGTACTAAAAGTTGAGTATATTATACCAAAATTGAGTTCCTTTTGCTGCTATTATCTAGTATCCCTAATTTATAAGAGGAAGTTGAAGCACCCTGACACATCATGGCAGAATGGACATTAGGAAAAGTGGGAGGTGGTTATATATTTTTGAAAGAGGCAGTGTAAAAAAGGATGACACAAGAAAATATTCTGTTGAGGAAAATAACACAAGGAGGGTGTCGCACTTTTTGTGACCTTGTTTTTTGCTCTGCCCACTACACAAATGCATATTCTTCAAAACCTCATGCTTGGATGTACCAGTCAACGATGAAGAATTTGGCACCTTACCTAATGCCGGTACTTTTCTTCCACCAGGTAAGCAATACATCTTTCTCCTGAATTAAACCAAAATACAAAACAAGCATTCACCACCACACTCAGGACGATTATTTTGGCTAGGGTAAAAAGTGAAGCAGCACACAATCTGATAGTTTGAGGCAATAAAACGCCTATATTTCATTGCGTTGAAGACTAAACCCATAACGAATTGTTCCCAAAACGTTAGAGCAATATATAGGTACTGCCATACTTATTTATTATTTTTAGTAAACGAGCCCACCTGAAACAAATGGATTATTTCGTAAATGTGTATTTAATGTTAAGCCATATTTGATAGATTAGCAATGTATTGTATTTACACGCTTAATTCCGATTAGTTGCTTCATCGATGTAGCAAATGAAAACATTAAGTGAATTTGCTTTTAGAATACTCAAAATTCACATGTAAAAGATGCACAACTAGACAATATGAAAAAACTTCTTTCAGGCACAACGTGCAGTTATGCTTTGCTGTATTTTTACTTTTGTATGCTGAAAAAATAACGTTTCTTTTTTTCAAATTTTAGAAAATTTTTAAGAAGTAGTCAATAAATTGCGTGCAATAGCTCTTGTGATTATTGTCATGTCGAAAAATAACAGACTATATGAGTCACAAATTAATTATGGAATACAGCATACGCAGTCGCAGCCGCATAGACGGAACCGCGAAACGGATGTGAATAGACAATTGGCTATAGCAGCTACGCCACATAAATATACATAAATACATAAAGTCTTACATAAATACTTACATACATAATCTTACATAAATACTTACATAAATATATAAAGTCTGGTTGAGATTCCTCAATTTATGAAAAGCTAGTTTTCCCCATTATTCGGCTGTCGTGGCATCAAAAGTGAAAAATGTAAGTTCTTGGTAATTTTTCCTGCAGCCCATATAGCGAAACGGGAATAGAAGAAAGGGCATTTAGTTTCCCTCAAAAACCATATGGCTGGCTTCTCTGAGATGAAACAGTCGAACTGATCTGCTTCAATGCCTGACATTTATTCTTTTCCAAGCCCCCCAAATTTCAATATTACCAGGCCATTTTGAACGAATTATTGTATATTCGTACCTAACTGCAACGAACTCCGTGTGACTGTGCACTGATCAACATTGGAACCACATTGTGAAAGGCCGGCGAAAACCCTCTTTCATTTACCTCTGCAGCCAGAATCAACAAAAACTTTAATGGTAGTCTGGTGGTCTTACGTTTGCTTCGCTTCGCGTAACGCAGGCGTGAACGTGCAACGAAATTGAAAAAAAATGAGAGAGATATAGAAAAAGAATGCAGGTGAGAAAATAGGAAGAAAATAAATGAGTAAAAATTGTTCATGACAGAGAAAATAAAAAACAAAAAAGAGAAAAAAGGAAGAGTAAATTGAGTCAAAAACAAGCAAACCTGCTTAGCAGTGCCCTTTAATTAGGGTGGCATCAATAGTGCAAATTGAACTTGTTTTGTTTTCCCCTCATGTGTATAGAAAGAAACATTGCTGATCGCCTTTTTCGTAGGAATAGTTTGAACACGGAAGTGAATTGTGTCTTCATAAAAATAGCGCTATTGTGTAGTGATATATTGTCGCTGTACAACGCGAACAAAGCACAAGTACGCCTTCAGGCAGCGAAAGCAGCGTGTTTTCAACAGCTAAGCCGCAAGATTGTCTTCTTTTTTGTTGAGTCAAGCCAGAGGCCCACTACTTGGTGTCTGCTAAATCCCCACATCATCGTTGTCGTTCACACGCAGACACGGGTCATTTGCTTCCCTCTCAAAGAGCATCGACCCGATGCAAAGTCAAGAATACAGTTTTTTTTTTAAAGAAAAGTCTCACGCAATCACTCGCTGACGTAAGGCTTCATGCGCACTACGTGAACGAGTTCAGGATGGTGCTGGCGACGATTGGTACTACACGAACTGTCGGGAACAACTTCGTAAGTAACCTCACTCAGTTGTCGCAGCACTCGGTAAGGCCCAAAGTATCTTCTTAAAAGCTTTTCGGAAAGTCCTCGTTTCCGTGCGGGTGTCCAAACCCATACTTTGTCGCCAGTTTGATAGACGACTGTTCTGCGGTGAGCATTGTAGCGGCCTGCATCGTACTCTTGTTGCTGGCAGATCCGTAAACGTGCAAGTTGCCTAGCTTCTTGCGCGCGTTCCGTGAACGTGTTGGCGTATGGGTCGATGCCGTCACCTTCGTGCGGTAGCATCGCATCTAACATAGTTCGTACTTCTCGTCCATGAACGAGGCTGAACGGGGTCAGGCGCGTCGTTTCTTGCTTTGCCGTATTGTACGCAAACGTTATGTACGGCAAAATTTCATCCCAATTTTTGTGTTCAACGTCTACGTACATCGAAAGCATGTCTTCAATGGTTTTGTTTAGACGCTCTGTCAGCCCGTTTGTTTGTGGGTGGTAGGCGGTGGTCTTACGATGCGCTGTTCCACTCAGCATGAGGACGTGATTCAAAAGAGCTGCCATAAATGCGGCTCCTCTGTCTGTGATCACGACGAATTGTGCACCATGCCTCAGTACAATGTTCTCGATAAAAACTGTTGCCACCTCTGCTGCTGTACCTCTCTGGATAGCCTTTGTCTCGGCATAACGGGTCAGATAATCCGTCGCGACGATAACCCAGCGGTTCCCTGCAGTAGAATTAGGTAGTGGGCCCAAAATGTCCATGTCGATCTGGTAGAATGGAGCTGTTGGGACCTGTACGGGTTGCAGGAGGCCAGCTGGTTTAGTCGGTGGTGACTTGCGTCGCTGGCAGTCGAGACAAGCACGGACATGGTGCTTCACGGCTGCGGTTAGTCTCGGCCAGTAATACTTTTGCTGTATTCTGGCCAACGTTCTCAAGTAACCCAAATGGCCAGAGCTCAACTCGTTGTGGCATGCTTTGAGTACTTCGGTACGAAGGGCTGCTGGGATGACGAGCAGATAAGCAGATCCCGTCGGCGAAAAGTTTCTTTTGTAGAGTACTCCGTCCCGTAAACAAAATGATTACAACACTCTTGCGAAAACTCTTGGCGCCTTCTGAGATCTGCCATCCAAGAAGTTAATTAGGCCAAGCAACTCAGCGTCGTCACGTTGTTGCTGCGCAATGGCGGTCGTGTCGAGGACACCGAGAAATGCCATTTCCTCCTCTCCAGGTAGGGTTGCCGACTCAATGGGTGAACGGGACAGACAGTCGGCGTCCATATGTCGCTTGCCTGACTTGTGTACGACTACAATATCGAATTCTTGCAGCCTGAGACTCCAACGCACTAATCGCCCGGTAGGGTCTTTTAGACTTGTTAACCAGCACAATGAGTGGTGGTTGCTAATTACTTTGAAGGGGCGGCCATATAAATATGGGCGAAATTTTAAAACTGCCCATACCACGGCGAGACATTCCTTCTCACTTGTAGAGTAATTAGCCTCAGCACGTGTTAACGTTCTGCTTGCGTAAGCGATTACCCTTTCTGTGCCCTCTTGCCGCTGCACAAGCACAGCTCCCAGACCAACATTGCTCGCGTCTGTGTGAAGCATCGTCGGGGCTTTTTCATCGAAGTGGGCAAGCACTGGGGGCGTTTGAAGACGTTGATGCAGGTCATTAAAGGCAGCCTCCTGTTCTTCGTTCCACTCAAAGGCAACGTCGTCTCTTGTGAGACGAGTTAGTGGCGACGCGATGTGGGCAAAGTCTGCGATAAATCGGCGATAATAGGCACAAAGGCCCAGGAAGCGTCTGACAGCCTTCTTATTGGAGGGTACTGGGAACCGTGCGACAGCGGCAATTTTTCAGGGATCGGGTCGGATGCCTACGTTACTGACGACTTGACCGAGAAACGGAAGTTCGTGGAAACAGAAATGACACTTTTCCGGTTTCAATGTTAGGCCCGCAGACCGTATGGCACGTAAAACAACTTCCAGTCTTTGGAGATGCTCGTCAAAAGTCGTTGAAAATACTACAACGTCGTCCAGATAGACTAGGCACGTCTTCCACTTCAATCCCGAAAGTACCGTGTCCATAAGCCTTTGAAATGTCGCGGGCGCGGAGCACAAACCGAAAGGCAAGACTTTAAATTCGTATAAACCATCTGGCGTCACAAAAGCGGTTTTCTCTCGGTCTCTTGGGTCTACCTCGATTTGCCAGTATCCACTCCTCAAGTCCATGGAAGAAAAATAGCGAGCGTGCCGAAGTCTGTCAAGGGAGTCATCAATACGTGGGAGCGGGTACACATCTTTTTTGGTCACCCTATTCAGCTTCCTGTAGTCCACGCAAAAACGCAGCGTGCCGTCCTTTTTCTTTACTTGCACTACAGGTGATGCCCAGAGGCTCTGTGATGGTTGAATTACATCATCTTCAAGCATTTTCGCGACTTGTTGATGTATGGCTTCGCGTTCCTTTAAAGCTACACGATAAGGGTTCTGGTGAATAGGTCTCGCCGTGTCCTCGGTGATTATTCGATGCTTTTCAAAGGTGTTCGACCAACTCGTGAGGTCGATGAAAAGCAGTCGTGGAATTCGGCTAGTAGCTGAAGAAGTCTCTGTCGGTCATCCTCTGACAGAGTGGGACTTACATCGAGAACGGGTTCTGGTTCTTGATTAGGCGCTTCGTCTAATACCGATAAACATAAACTGCCTCGCATGTCTACGATATTGTCGTAAGAAGCGATAGCTGTGCCCTTCGGAAGGTGCCAGCGCTCAGTACTGAAGTTGGTCAAAAGTAAATTCGTGCGCCCACCAGTGAGACGGACGATACCTCGTGCGACCGAAATGCCATGGCTAAATAGCAGCGAGCCAATTTCGTCGGCAATGCCTTCGCCATCAAACGCTTCGTGCCCTTCCACCGAAACAAGAGTGCATGACCGTGGCGGGACGACCACAACATCATCAATTATACGTAAAGTGTTACGTATTGCGTCTCAACAGTCAACCAAACCAGGGCTGTTGCGGAACGTAATTGAACGGTCCGGGATGTTGATGACGGCACCATATTCTCTTAAGAAGTCCATCCCTATGATCAGGTCCTTGCAACATGAG